GTGTGTGTGTGTGTGTGGTCACCAGTTTTTTTCTTTTTCTTAAATAACATTTAACATTTCTATATCTAAGACAAGTTATTATTTAACCTTCCCTGTTTGGTGAGATAGTTATGTTTACATATATTCAGCTTACAGATTTAATTGATTTAAACAACCCAGGATGAATAAATCTATGTATTCATAACGCCATATGACTCAATTTTTAAAATGTATGACATAAATATGAGATGTGTGTTTAAAGTTATAAGAGGTGAAACTAAATGGGGGGGGGGACTTCATAATTTATATCTGATGTTTAATGCATAATCAAACGAAGAAAATAAAAAATAAAGACGTTTTTAAAATAACGAATATTTACATTTTGTCAGATGTGTTAAAGCTGTGTTTCCAGTGTGATGTAAATGCCGCAAAGTTCATTGTTTTATTTACAGAATAAAAAAGATTAAGGAATAAAGAACAAATAGGCCTACTATTAAATTAGCACTGATCTCGGGTCTATGTGCAGCATCGAAAGAAATGAATATATGAGACATCAAAAAAACAGTGAAGGTGTGTTTTTATTATTTTTATGTCTTCGTGTGAGTCGTCAAGGCTCTGTCATCAATGCATTAATGGAAACCTGGTGTGAAACCAACAGACCTGCAGAACGTGTGTGTCCTGGAGATGCTGGGATAAAAATAACTCCCACAATGTGACCCACAGCTTCTGAAGCATTGCGATGTGAATGTCAAGCATACTATTTGTTGCACACAGTATGTTTGGGTTATTTAGATTTTTACTAAATTTTAAGCTCAGCTCAGTTTTTAAGCTGAATCAAACGGCAGCTGCAGGAGCTGTCCGCGGTGCTGAAACGAATGTCTTCCTCACCTCTTTTCTTAATGGTCAAGAGAATAGGAAGCAGACCTATTATCGCGTTGACCTTGAATGCAGTAGGCATCAGTTAACCTGCACTGTTTGCATTTGTCCAAACTCTAGTCAGCCTTTATTCTCCAGTCACTGAATCAAAATTTACACCAAATCTGTTTTCATTCCAAGGTCTGCAATTCAAATCACCCCATACATTTTTAAAGACTGCTTTGTACATTTGAGTTGTTTGCCAAGCACAAATGACGCATTGGCACCAGTTTACATGGGAGAGAATGGCAACACTGCCCTCTCCCTCCTGTTTCAGTTTATAAGATAAAGGCCCTGAGGCTCTGTGAGGAACTCCTGCAGGTTGTGGCACCAGACACGGTAAGCCTCATCTTATCCAATAACACAAAAAAGCCTGATGCAAGTGAATGTTTTTCTTAAAATCCTTAAGCTGCATCTTTTAATTATTCCAATATACTTCAATTACAAATATATGAACCATTTAAATTCGATGGAAAACGAATTATTGAGTGTGGGGAGTAAATACACATTAGAGTTATTTAATGTTGTATGTTTAAGGATGCCAAGATTGCTCAATTGGAGTAAAAAAATAAATCAATCAAGTTGCACAGTTTCATTTAGAATCATTTTATTTTACCACACAGTTGGTTGAATACAAAGTTGAAAGACTTGAATTTTATGAAAAAATGCTCAGCAACACATGGGATCCCTTCATTTCCATAGACTATTAACATTAATTACAAAAACAACACAATAAATACGTGCAATAATAATAATAATAATAATAATAATAATAATAATAATAATAATCTATTTAACATAGCATTGCAAATCAAAACGGAAATATTGAACCAAAATGGAATATGAAATCAAAATACAGTGCAATGGATCAAATAGAAGAATAAAGGCAATATGAATAAATACGAGTAAAAAAGAAAAAAAGAAAATGTCTGATTTCATTGTATTTTGATGATTGTTTTAGAAGTTAAACCATTTTGGCCAGCCCAGCCATTGTCAGATTTAGTTAATTCCAAAGTGTCTGTCTGTCTGTCTGTCTGTCTGTCTGTCTGTCTTTGTGTGAGTGTGTGTGAGTGTGTGTGAGTGTGTGTCTGCGCGCACCCGTGCGTGCAGCCGGTGCTGATGAACATACAGTGTCTTTCTGGGCCTCTCTTTGTGGTCTCGTTGGGTTTTGCATAGATGCGAAACGATTGATTTGCTGGAGAACAGATTCTTCTAAAACAACCCTACTTGCACATTTTTTTACCGGTTCAGCATTTCTTTAGATTTCATCATTTCCAAAAACCACAACCTCCTAAATGTCGCACGTACAGGCGTGATGTGATTTGCATTCGCTTGTTCATTGATTTATTCCTAATTTCATATTATTAGAAATTCACCGCCAATGTCAAGGTGTAACTGTAGACAGTGATGTAGTGGTAAATAAACAAGTGGGTAAACTTTGACTTCCAGTCATCAAAATGCAAACAATCACCGATACAAACACAAATCTCACTTTACATTAATATTTTGAAATTCCCTTAGGTCTTGATATGATTATCAAATTTCCTTTTAGAGATTTATTTCAGCTTTAAAAGCTGGATAACTTCTGTTGCGCAACAATAAGATTGTGGGTTAGGTAGATTACCCTCCACTACATCCCTGACTATAGCAAAACAAAAAATTAAGACAGAAAAAATAGAAAGGAAAACACTAATGACAACGAGTGAAACATCTCTCCAGAATGCCTAAATCCTGGCAGGTAAGCTTTTCAAAAAGTGTGCCGTGGATAGATTGTTGATTGCAAGGGGACGCACGATAGGTTTCTCATTTTAATTGTGAAAAAACGCGTTCAGTTCATCATACACGGGGGCCCGTTCGTGGTGTAAGTGCATGTCGTGGTAAGGCAGGACGTTTTCAGAGTGAATGCCGCTCCGGGACCCCGAGGAGCCAAACACCAGGTTGTGGGCCCCGGTGGGTCTTGAGCCAGGCAGGCCGGAGTAATGCATAGAGTAGTGGTATCCCTTCTCGTTTTCGGGGGAGGCAGAGCCTTGGTGCTTCAGTGAAAAGTTGCCATTGACGCACAGGGGCGGGCTGAGGGGCCCCTCATACTCGGGGCTGTTATACTCAGGGGACCCGCTCCCACCGTACAGAGAGTCGTAAGTGGAGCAGTAGCCGTGCGTCCTCAGCGGATGCGAGTTCGAACCCGGCTGGCAGTGGGGGCTTGAGAGACGCGCACACTGGTAGGGGTAGGAATGCATGGAGAAGGAGCCGGACGCGTACCTCCCCCCATCCTGACACTGCTGCTCGGTTAGGAAGTTACGGGAGTTTAGCTGCAGGCATCCCGCCACCAGGTTGGTCGTGGGTTGGGAGAGTCCCTTGCACAGCGTCTGGACGTAGGACACAAGGTCTGGCCTTTTTCCAGAGCGCAGTATCTCCGACAGAGCCCAGATATAGTTTTTGGCCAACCGCAATGTCTCTATTTTGGACAGTTTTTGCGTTTTGGAGTAGCATGGCACCACTTTACGCAGATTGTCGAGCGCAGAGTTCAGGTCGTGCATGCGGGTCCGCTCCCGTGCGTTGGCCTTTACCCGCCGCATCCTTGAGCGCTCGATCCGGGCCTGGGTCATTTTGCGCTTCTTGGGGCCCCTTTTCTTGGGCCTGTCCCCCTCTGTATCCTCGCCATCGTCCTCTTCCTCTACCCCGTCGTCTTCGTCATCGTCCCCGGCGTGCTCGGACTGCGTCCGGCTATCTCCTCTCAGATCAGATCCCTCCATGTCGTCCTGGGTGTCCTGGTCCTCATCTTTGATCTTGGAACTCTCGCAATCGCTGTCCTCCGCCCAGCCGGAGTATTTCTGCACATCGGGGAGTAGTGAGGGGTCACTGAAAAGCCTCGTCAACATTGTGGCTCTGGAGAGAAGATAAAGGGAAATCGAAAATGAGGCCTCACAGGCGCAGGACACATACACATTGTCTATATGGGTGTACAAAAAGAAGACATTCTATCATAATGACTTAATAGCAAAAACAGTCGTATGAGGTTAAACGCACTATTGCGCACGTCACCATAATCATCCGAATATAAAATATACTTCCATAATACGAATTTTCACAGAAAATATATTGATTTCAGGGTGTTAGGTTACTAACACTCTTGCTCAAGATAGTGAATTTTTGTTATAAAATATACCTGAGTCGTTATTCTTTGCCTGAAGGACAAATAGTGTAAATTTGAGGGAAATAAAAACGGTAGAGGAATCAGCTCTCAAAGCTTTGCGCTGGGTTACAGCCAGACGGATCCCCATTTAATTCCCTGCTGTCATCCGTGTGCCCTGTCGCGTCCTTTCGCAGCGGGTCCCAGCGGCAGGGGCCACATTACAGGTCCCATGGGGGCCCCCACTTTCACTCCTCCTGACGCCCATATACACTCCTGGCTGCATTCCAGCACTATTCATCCACACCATACACCTCTCCTCAGAGAAGGCAAGGGGGATTTTATTTAATTGATAGGCTGTAGTTCCGTTTAAAGTCACACTGATTATTAATTTAAGGCTAACAGACATATACTGACTCAAGATGCAAAAAAGCTTCGAAAACCAATTTTAATATCATGGCCTACAAACAAGAACCTAAAGGAAAGATTGTCTACAATTATGATTAACACCTTGAAAAAAAAAAAACAATACAAAAAAAATAAAACTTTTATTTATGTTATCGCAGCTATAATAATAATAATTATTATTATAATGTTAATAATAATAATGTGGTTTGGCGAAAAATGCTTGCAAGATATTTCGAAAAATATCTCAAATCATTATAGGCTCAGCTATAACGAACCACAATTGAATATTATTAACCAATTACGTATTTAACGATTACTATAAAGAAAACATGCTTAAAAAAATAAATTGATCAGCCTACCACTTGATTAGTAAATGCAGTCCCATCCCAGAAAAAAGGGCTACAGAGAGACGAGGTGATCTTTGACAGCTTCAATAAGCCTCCATTGGCTTACTCCCTAACATGTTTCACTTCCCATCTATTATTATAGTGCAGCAGCAGATAGACTTGCAGCCCAAGGTAGGGTAGGCTGTAATGGTTGGTTAATTATCTCGGGGGGTGTGCCAGGGGCAAAATCTAGTTTTTAAATCTCAGGCTCAGGAGGTTTGCTCAATTAGAAGAAAAAAACACAACAACGTTTAATTAACAGACCATGCAGCTTACACGAAATAGATTTCACACATAATTCAGTATGCACGAGTGCTTGATTTCAAAGCACTTTTAGTCAGCGATAACCCTTTACAGATGGAAATCGCTTGTATCCCTTTAGTCCTCGTTAAATATAAAAACACAACTGGCGAAACACAATTATCCAATCTCGCAAAACCCTGCATTAGCTCCACTGTAACAGCAAGGACTGTGGTTTAAACAATGTTTAGTCGAGATAGATTGTTGAAGATAAAACTAGACAAACAGAGATAAATCATGCTGCACACTGCCTGTCACAGTCAATGGCGTTGTCCCACCCTTTCATTTGCTCCGAGATTGAACGTGAAAATCATCGACAAAATCATCAATAAATCTCCCATAAAGCTTGAGGACGTCCTTCACTGAGAGAACGGGGCTGGGATCAAAATCTTCCACAGAAATGTTTATCTCTCCATACTCATTGTCTTTTGTTTCTCTGAATCAAGGTCCAGACGCAGGAATCTCTAAATCAAATTAGTGTCCGATATGATCTATTTACAGCGCTGCTGTAGGGGGGCTATTCCAATCCTCAGGACTTCTCCTTGTAAATGATCCTGGAGGAGCGAAATCGGGACCGGGAGACTCTTGCCTTTTCACCCGAGCTTGGTATTTGATTTTAGCTCTTATAATCCAGGTAGATTTGCATGTCAAAAGTTGAAGGGCACGCAGAGGGAGAGCGGGGGACTGAGGAGGCACTATTAGTGCAAGCGCGCTAATAAAAAGACAAACATGGAAATGCCTTGTATATCCATTTATGATGATGATTATTATTATTCGATTTTTGTTAGAATGGATTTCAAAGTGTGCTGTCACCAGATTTAAACAGACTAGGCTACATACTGTGGATCGATAGGTACATACCACAGCAAAGTCACAGACAAGGCGAATATACATTAGATGTCCATATGGATTCATGCCAGTAGATTAGCCTTTTACCTTACAAACTGTAAACGATAAAGGTGCTTTAAGCCACCAAAACAGACGACTGACAGTAACCCACATTATAACTACATAAAACACAGATGGACACCTTGCATTAACATAGCCTACATCTGTTTATCTTTTTATCAGATTAATTTTCTCCTCCATTTTGGACGGACACTTCAGCATCCAGGATTTATTTATTTATTTTCGTTAGTGTTGTTTATGTTCCAACTTACCTCTGCTCGAGCTCTTCACAAGGGATGGGAGGAAAAAAAAAACGCGCTTGAGTTTCAGACCATCTTCAGGGACCGCACGAGTGAGCGAACCAACGCTCCCTGTCAGTGTATGGGTGCAGGCAGCGCGCGGCTCTCTTTCACTGGCGCTGACGGGCTGTTTAGGGGTGCTCCTCTCCCAGCGCGCACACTCCAATAACTGGAGCTTGTGAACGGACGTGCGTCTTGGCGTGTCTGTGCGTATATGTGTGAGTGAGTAAGTGAGCATGTATGCATGTATGTGTGCGTATGTGTGTGTGTGAGTGCGCGTGTGGCAACCGTGAGCTACCGGGGACGGGGTTACATACCAGCTAAGGCTGTGATGCCAGCGCCCATATGGCTGGCACGTCACCGGCAAGAGCCATCACATGAGAGCCCCTTGATTGACATGCGCCCGCATTCGGAGAGATTTGCCCGCGGGGGGAGAGAGACAGAGAAAGAGAGAGAGAGGGAGGGAGAGAGAAGGAGAGAGAGAGAGAGAGAAGGAGGAGGAGGAGGTACGAGGTGGAGGAGGAGGAGGAGGGCTTCGCCATCTGTCACCGCACTAGTGCTCACACAGCCAGAAAAAAAAGGAGGAAAAACAGAAGAGAGAGGGAGAAAATAAAATGGTGGAACAACAAAACTCATCATTGTTGACCTGTGCTGCTGCTTCAAGGGATGTAGGCTATCTTTTTTAATCAAACCTGTGAATGTTCTCATTGAACTGCCAAACTCACTAGTCAATGTTTAATGCAATTTAGAGGAGACCTGCCTGCACAAATATCCCAGCAGTCACCATAAGAAAGATTATAAGAGGTAAACTATGATCAACATATATGTTGATTTCAAGATAAGTCTCAGTCATATTACACTGTTATATGCATTAAGTGACAAAACAATAAATAGAATATGAAGCCAAGTCAAATAAGTTCTGCTTTAAAATCATATCTACACGAGTAATTAATCAATTGCCCTCTTTAAAAGACTCTATTTTCATTTACAAATTATCTGTTTAAGAAGAGAATACAAAAATGACTGTATGGAGTCTATTATAAGATTACATCAATTAACTCTTCAGCAAATGAAAGGTGGGTAAACCAGTTTTAGTTGCAGGGTTTACCCTCCGACACATCTCTGGTTCAGAAGCAGGGCGGGGGTAGGGGGATGGGGATGCATTATAAGTGCATTAAGGCGGTGGAACAGAAGGCATATTGTTTATTTATTTACCTAATTGGATCAAATTATGCATCAACGTATTCAGAGAAACGACAACCAAAACCAATTGTGATTTGTTCTGACTCTTTTGGGCACAAGCTGGGCGCGGATGACCCACTTGCCAATGCTGAAAATGAGTCAGATTAAAACATATAATATTACATAGGCTTCTGCTGCAGGCACGGTGTTTGTGTGTATGTGAACTGGTGCTCATGTGGTTAAGTGTGAAGATCAAATGTTTACTGGTAGCTATGTCTGCACATGTGAGGTTTGCCAGAGCTACTGCTGGTGTTTCCAGCCTGCAATGTGGAGTGAGGGGCCCCTGCAGGGGCGAGCATCAGAGAGAGAGGGAAAGAGACATAAAAACACAGTAAGAGGAAGGGTGAGAGAGAGAGACCCAGGTGTGTAGGCCCACTAGGGATGTATGAAAAATGAGGAGGAAGGGGGGTGTCGCTGTAGATGACAGGGAATTGGTGCTGGTAGGAACTGGCAGAGGTGCCCAAGATTTAGGAGGAGGCATATTGGCACATCGGTGGCGAAGATGAAAGAATTCCTTGCCATCAGCATCCTGGTCCCTTCAGTATGCCTGCTTTGCTGTATTGTGTCCATCCCAGATCCGAGATCTCTCAATTTAGGAGACATTAGTGGAGTTAATGTGGGAGAAATGAGCTCGATGACCACCAAGTCCAACTTGGCACAAAGACACCCACAGGACTGAGGGAACAGGGACATGGAGGCTGAGAAATAGCTGATAGAAACTCATCATGTCCTTGGGCCTGGATCACCCCTACATCTCCTCCGCCACAACTAAGGGAGTGTTTGGGGGGTTGCAGGGTCATCCCTGGGGTCACCAGTAGTGTGGCAGCTGTGGCTAGGGAGCCGTGATGCCACACATTCACTAATGTGTCTCATCCCATAAGGGATGAGGGGATGGTAACCTGGCACTACCCCAAACAATGGTGGGGTGATTGTGACAGTGTGTGTGTTTGTGTGTATGTAGAGGGGGAGTCGAGGGGCATTGAGCTTCACCACCAGCCAAATCGGTGCCCTATCCTACCTCAGCTGTGCTGTGGAGGGGGGAGATGCAAGGGCTGCGGCCATGGGAGGGGGGCTGATGCTTCTCAACAAGTCCCAAACAACCTTCAGGTCACCTTGCCAAAATAAATGCTAAATGTCAACAGTGTGGCTTTAGCCAGCGCTGGGCAAGTGGCGACTCCAATCAAGGAGGCTTTGATCTGATATTGAAACGCCAGAGGAGAGCTTGTTTGGAATTATGATATTTTAGAATGACTTTGCCTCCTGTTTGTATGCGGATTAGTCTTAAGTAAGGGCCACCTGCTGTGCTTTTTCATGGGCTAAATGCATGTAATCAAAATGCAAAATTGAAGCCCTTTCCCTTTAAGATATCAGATTCTCCATCACTCTTTTCCCTCTATGGTCAAATGACACCCAATAGCCTTTCAAAGTCATCAAGCCACACCTCCATACCTTTGTCATCTTCCCCCTCCTGTCCTCCCATTCTCACTGTCAGACATGTGAGGTGATGACCTGCACTTCCCTTGTCTTTCTGGAAGGAGTGCAAACTTCTACTGCAACAAATATGAAATACAGCACACACACACACACACACACACACACACACACACATCCTCCCACCCCCACCAGACTCCCGGACCCCATCTGCACTCTCCTCTCTCCAGCCCCCTAATTGCATATGCACAAATGCAAATGCCTATTAATTAATTACTTGACTAATTAGTGCAGTGGTATTTTAGAGCGATAAATCAAGTGGAGATGGGGCAGAGGACGGCGGGGCAGGAGGAGGGCTGCGCGGAGCATCGACAATGAACCCACACCAGAGGGAGTGCTCCTATTGTACAAGTCCTGTGTGTAACTGGGGGTGTGCTGTGAAGAGGATGTGCACTCTTAAGTGAAGCACCATTTAAAAATGCTGAGAAGCCCGAAGAGCTGAGGTGAGCGAGGTGAGTACTCTGTCTCAGGAAGTAAGAAAGTCAGAGAGAGAGAAGAAGAAATATAGGTTCCATGTGAGATATGACCTCTGTTCTACCAACTGGTTTATTTCCTGGCATGTGGCCAAGCTTGTATGCTCATTGCTCCTACTTTCACAAAGGAGAAACCATCAGCTACATACTATGACTGCTCCTACTGATGCATATTTATACTGATATTGTACACCTTGTACAATAGTTCAATGAGCATAACAGTTGGCATCGTTTACGCAGTGATACTGATGTGATAATTGTGGCATCTGTGATTGGGAGGTGAATAATTCTGGCAGCCGTGGTAAATTGTGTATCAGTGAATGTGTGTGTGGGTGTCTGTATGTGTGTGTGTGTGTGTGCCTGTAGGTGTGCCAGGCCCCCACCAAAGGTACCCATGGAGATCTCCGGACTGAAATATTCATTCTTGTTTGCTCGCCCAGACAGTGTGGTCCTAATTGCAGCATCAGAAAGCTCCACCTCTCCCTCTCGTCTGGCTTGGCTGCAGTGGAGACAAACCTCATCTGGGAGAAGGATGCCTGTGTAAGTATTTGTGTGTAGGTGTGTGTGTGTGTGTGTGTGTGCACCGTCCTCCCTTCAAAGGAGTGGAACTGGGGTTGGTAGATTTGTGCTTGGCTCGGTCTTCCCTCACTTTCTCACTCATTCACAAATACGATGCACAAAAGCACATTTTCAAGAAATGGTTAATGTTGTCAGTCTGTCAAATTCATTCATTTAATTTGCCTGCATGTCACATTTTCCGCGTATTTCAGCTTTCCTTCATGCCTCATTCACTCTGCTTGTATTGGAGTTGGGTTGACTATTGATCTCTCTGTCAACATGTCTGTCTGTCTGTCGGTCCACAGGGTGTGTGTGTGAAGCTCTGGAGTTTTTCATCAGTTCCCGTGCCAACCCAACCCGTGCCTGGCCAAGCTGAACCATCTTGTGGGATTTTTGGCTTTTAATTATAGTAAGAGAGGATTAATTATGGCAGTGGAAACAAGGGGCCATGCATTATTGATGCTATGAGTGAAGGGCTGGAGGGGGTAGAGGGTGCTAATTAAATCACTGCCCTACTGCCACGTCCTCCTCTGTCTCTGCCTCCACCATGTCTTCCACCTGCTACATCTCCAACACCCCACTCCACTTTACTCTTTACACCCACCCACACATATACACTCATATATTGTCACTTGCACAAACACTCATACCTCTGTTGTCATTTTTCATGTCTATATTTGGTTTTTCTAGGTGCTGTTTATTTTGCACACAGGTCTACCTCACTGAAATCACCAAATCAAAGTTTAAAAAGTCTCCCATCCTTACCCTTTTAGTAATGTCACATTGATTCCTTCTTGGGTCCCAGTAATTCATCTAGAGATTTTCTCTCTGCATCCATAGTATGTTGGTTTGCATCCTGCCACTTTATAGTGATTGGTACATCTATTCAATGTCAGTGGTGACACATTTTAAATTTTATTTTATCCTAAATGAGCACCTCAGTTTCAATTTTAACCCCCATTTGGAAAGCTCTTTGCAGTCAACCGGGGATGATGCTAAAAGCCAAATGTAACAGAAGGCTGCCATCTACTGGAATTTATTTATAATTATCACCGTTACCATTACCATAAAACCATTCAACAGGTATAAGCTCAGTGTATTGCCTGTTACACACTATAAAAAAGTTTTAAATATATATATATATATATATATATATACCAAGTAAAGGAATTGTTAAAAAGTAAAGTGTTGAAAATATTTTTTTTCCTGTGCCCTAGAGAAGAAATGCAGAAACTTTGGTGATAGAGTCAGTATTATACAATTTTGCCTTAACTGTAAGACAGTAGGTATATAGTACTTTACATTGTGCAGGTTTTTTCTAGGCAGCCCTCTTTTACCTAAAAGACCACCAAAAACACCTCCAGACAGCCTATTCTAGATTCTTCTCTCCTGTCTCTTAGTCTCTTTTCTTATATGCATTATCTCCTTATTCCTGTAGTTCTCTTTTTAAATTCTCAGGGATTATCCCATAATGCTCTGTGTTGTCCCAACACATTCCAGATGCATACTGGTCTGATGCTGCAATGATAACAAGCTGAAGAGGTAATCCCCTTTCTGTCCCTTTGTTTTTCTGACATATTTTAATGTACAGTGCTAAGTGCCCCATTTTGGGCCAGGTCTTCCACAGAGGGGACCTAGTGGTTGAAGAAACCCTCTGTCAATCCGACAACCTGGCCTCAAGAAACATCCACCCTTCTGAAATAGTATGTAAAACTCTATAGCACTGGGTTACGTAGTTCTTGATTGTCTTAATAAAAAAAGTATAAGCATGAAAGAATCAATCAAACAAGAAATGGTGTGCGTCTATATGAATCAAAGAACTGAACTGTCACCTCTGGATGGGGGCAAAGAAAAAAATAATCAATAACATTTCATTCTAAATCGTAATTACACTAACAGGACAGCAGATGGTGCCCGTGCATCCTTCATCACCAACACAGTGCAGCACAACCACCTGGTTCTGGCAGTGCAGCTTTCCCAGGTGTATGTGACAATGACTGTTCCTGCGAGCAGTACCTGTGTATTGTGCGATGTGTATGTTATATAACTGGATGGAGGGGGATGAGTTCGGAGTCAAATGAGGTGTTGACTGACAGGCAGTGCCTCTCTGTTCCCCTCAACAAAATTACCAGGACACCTGCTATGACGTTACAAAGCCTCTCTGTGATCCTGATTAATGGAATATCTCACCTTTTACAGTGATGTTTGTCCCTGAAATCCCCTGTGAAGGTATCAGCTTATTACTGCTATAGAGCACCTGGCAGGTAGAGAGAATTAGGTAGAATGAAAGAGAGTGTTTTTGAATGGACTCTAATAACGATTTTTGTCTCCCTCTGTTTCTTGTTCAGTTTGTTTTTTTATTCTTAATTCATTCGGAATGCACACCAAGAATGCATTTGGTCCTTGTAGCAGATCGGGTCTCGTCTGTAGGGGGGCTGAGGGGCCTGTCAATTACTTTCATAACAGGGAGGTTTTTATCAGCTCTTGCTCCACTGACTGTCACATGGTACAAGATGCCCTGTATCAGAGATAGAATTACACACTTTCTCCTAATCTGTCTTTGGAGCTGGCTTGGAGTGTCTCCAGTGTGTGTGTGTGTGTGTGTGTGTGTGTACAGTGCACAGTGCACATGTCACACATTTTGTACAGCATGTCCCTGCTTGCTGCTGGAGTTATTATCACGCTTGGTGTTCCCAGCCTGTAAGTGTGATCTGTCTTCCAGGGGTTTTTCCTCTGGGTTTGCCAGGTTCTGTCAGTGATTTAATGACATCCCTGACACAAAATGTGTAAACACAGTGAAGTGTAATAAAAATAGAAGCATGTATGAGCCTGCATATAGATGGGTTTAGCCAATGTCTGTAAATACACATAGCAGCATCACGGGTAGAGCAAGTGACATGAGGTTTAATTAGAGGTACAAACAAATAGAGACACCCCCAGGGGTATTCAAAACCACGCTGTAGAGAGGCAGGCAGGTGTTACATAACAATATACAAATAACAGATCCAATGTTAACAAATGCATTAAAGTGGCACAGCGTCAGGACACTGGAAATATCAACATCCACTGAGGCAGAAAATACAGGTGATTTCCTTTGTTAATCAATTTATGTGCAAATATAGTGTGTTTTCCAATTAGAGCATTTTGTTCTACTTGTCAGTGTGTCAGCAGTGTGGAGTAATGTTGTTAATATGACAGACTGCCCAAGGATTTTACTATGCCTGGCTGCTCTGACACTTCTGTGTTCATAGGTTTGAAAGCTTACCTGACAATTTGTCTCCCTAGTAATCCATACAGCAGAGGGGGAGGGGGGTTGTGTCTGTAGTGCAACACTATACATTTTCATTATTTACTGCTTTGACATATTGGTGTTTGTTAAAGTGTTTACCTTCTTCATATTACACAAAGCCAAAGAGCTTCACATTTAACCAGGAATAAAGAAAAGTGTTGCATTTGCCCAAGAACCGAGAATTGAAATAAAATAAAAAATCAGATTTGCTGGTGCTCTAATTCAGACAGTATTATTTAGCATGGTTTCTCTGTTCTAAGTCTACCTATAGTAAAATACAAAAATGGTTATAGGCTCTTACTGTGCAACTGTAAGTATTCCACATGTGCTAATATCCTTTTCTACAAATCACATCAAACTTTCTTTAAGTAAACTATTGTGTTCCTGTGTGTAGTGCAGCACATAGCCTACAAGTCCCTGAGGTTTATGTACCATGGTAGCACCCTCTTGTCTGACCAGTTGTAATTAGGTCACTAATTTTTCTGTAAACATGTTGTTAATTTACTTGATTGATAATTTTTTCTTAATAAACATCTTTGTGTTTATCTGCAGTTACTTTCCTTTCTAAATAGACAAACAGAGGCTGAAAGAAGCATTTTATTTTGCCAGAGAGCTGTGATTATTTTTGGAGATTAAGTGCCTTATCTTTTATTGGAGTCTCAGATCACAGCTGATCGTCTTATTTATGTTTACTGTGCCAGCCTTGCACTTGCTTGTTTAGTCTGTGTTTGATTATTTTCATGTTCTTTCCAGTTTTATCTTGGCTTGTCCTCCCAGGTTTGCTCATTGGGGCTGTGCAACAAACTCCTGCTTTACAGTGATGCAAACAAAGTTGAATAGAATAGAGCAGCTTAATCATTCAAACGTGGAAACTTTCCATGGGCTGACACAGAAGCATTATACTGGTCAGCGTATGCCAATAAAATTGTTAAAAATATAATTGGAAAGGAAGTCTGGCACAAAGGATTGCTTCGATCATGTTTAATTTCTCATTTGCTGCAGTGATGTACAAGTATACGCTGATGCCTTGTGACATCACTGTAGGTGTGGTTACAAGTGCAACAGAGCATACTTTTGACCACACCCAATAGTGATGCTAGGAATAGTTTTAGCCCCATAAATATCATATTTGCAATTGTGGACTACCCAACTACCCCACAACTGAAAGTCAGTCCGACATTTACTCTTGTCCGGTGGCTTCTCTCATCCTGTTAGGTCTTTTTGCCTCTGCCCATAGAAGCTGCTGAGCCTGGTTACATTGCCCAGTTGCCTGGCTCCGGTTCTGGTATGACACCAGCACTGCTCTTTGTCAGCATTTCCCTCTGTCTCGGGCCAGAAAACGTCCTTTTCTAAGCAGCCTAAATGTCCTGTGCTGACAAGACACCAGCTCTTTCCTGTGATTTTCATATCACAGCTCTTCTAAAACCAAACGTTAATGTTAAACATATTTGTACAGATCAGATTCAGTCTTGAATCTGTATATTATTTGTTTATAGGGAGAACATAGACACCTGGGTGCACCAGCCTATTACATCCTCCTTAGACAGAACACCATCAATGAGGCCTTTCTACCTCATAAAAAAAGCTGCCCCTCACTCCCTGATTGCCCAGGCTTTAATTAAAAAAGATTTCTAAGTTTAGTAGTTCATTATTTGACAATTACTCATTCACTGGTTTCATTAAATGCTGGAGTTCTGTGGCTTGTTGTGAGTCAGACTCTCAAACAGAGCCTATTAAACATTGCTAATAAAATATTGCACAATTCCTGCTTAAGTTATGCAACCACACTGGAACAAAATCAAATGGGATCGCGTGACTGAAAAAGATTAAATTTCTTCAGAAACTACTTAGACAGTCTGCATTTTGTCTAGCTTGTCAATATTTTCATAAACCTAAACAACAACGTTTCAGACTTCATGTATATGAAGAGATGCAATAATGAGTTTCCACCTCCAGGCATGTGGAGGTGTTGCTTTGCTTTAGACAAGAGTGGCTTTGTAGCAGAGTCAAACATCCAGACAAACCATTTAAAAAACCACCCCCCCTCGTCCAACCCGCACGGAAACAGTGAATAAATAACAGGCTGGCATGTTCAGCTTGCTCTGACCAGCGGGATAAACACTCAGTTGACTGTTTAATGAATTTCTGATTCTGTAGACAACAGTTGCGCTCCCAGAGCACTATATACACCTTGACCTTGTTCTCTGTTCTGCCCACCAAGCCCCTCCAGCCACCTCACTCTTCCTCCTCCTCCTCCTTCACCTCCTCAGCCCATGCCAAAGCTCAACTCTGCCCTGAGGCCAAATCCACTTCTCTTCACTGTCCAAATCCCTCTGCCATGTGAGTGAAATAACGGCAAGGCCCTGAAAATAGCACTGGAACTGCCCCTCTCACTCTATTCCCTTTATATCGCCATCAACAATCTGCCTCCTCTCTCCTTCCCCATCTACGTCCACCATCGTCCATCTGTATTTTTCATTCAAAGATTCCAATGTCATCAAGGTTCTGACATCTGTTGTGCTTGTTTGTTATTCCATTATTATATTACAATAAATGTTAATAAACATTTTAATGAGACCGTGTCAGTTATTTATGAAGCTCTACAGGATGGAACCTGAGCATTTCGCCGTAATTGTAGTGGGGTTCCATAGAAAATAATTGGTCATAGCATCACGTATAACACCACCCAGCCTAATAAATCTAGGGATGTCAGTAGCAGGGACTTAGCTGCTGGATGCCCATGTACATTCCTCTCTGCACACTCCGCACATTTCTCTTCTTGTTTATCCCTCCTTGCACTCCCTGCTCCCTCCCTCTCTCAGCATAAATCTCTCATTCACAAATAGAGGCCAAAAGAGGCTCAGCTGATGTGATGAGATTATTTTTTTTCTGATTACAAATCAACTTCAGCTTAGATAGATAGAAAAAACACAGTTCCCCCCCTCCACTCACTGTTACATCCTCTTTGCTCTCCTCCCCTATGTGCTCTGGCTCCTCCTCTCTCTCCTAATATCTCCACCTTCTTTTGGACCTTGGCCCCTCCCCTCCACCCTCTACCCACCAGCTTCTCTCCCTCACAGCCAGATCTAAGGACTTGCCTCATTCACTCTAGCTGCACAGGTTGTTAGGGAGGGGAGAAAGAGTGAAACAGGGAAAAAAAGAGAGGTAGAGCAGAATATTAGCAACTGCTGGAGAGGGAAAGAGGACAGGAAGTAAAAAAAAAAGAGAGCCTTTTCAGTTTGTTGTTTTTCTAAGAGAAGAAGGGAGCCAAGGTGTGAAGGAGTGAGGCAGGAGAGAGAAGACAAGTCTTCAGAAGTGGGACTATACCCAGCAGTGGGAGCTTCCTCCAGGGAGGTTATAGTGATTATTGGCAGCGGTCTCTCCTTTCCGCTGGGAGTCAGACCGCCAGGATCCAGAGCCATGGATCCCTCTGTGTCGACCGAGGTCGATGGGGAGCCCAAGGAGAGAAGGAAGATCCAGTTTGCTGTGCCGGCCTCTGCACCCACTAACCTGGACCCTCGGCAAGTGGAGATGGTGAGCAGTGCAGCACTTGTTGACTAATTTACCCTCTGCCCTCCAACCAGATATTCAAGCGAGGGGTTGCATTGTTTAGTGGAACTATTAAGTGCTGTACCATTTCTAGTCAAAAGTCTCCACATTGGAACACCTTCACTCTACATCCCCCTTCTCTCTGTTTTGTATAATTTTTGACAAGTTCCTCATGCAAAGCTGGGTTTTCTGGGTCTGTATGCCACATGTTTGAGAAATCATGATGACATTTCCCTCTCTCTGTTTCCTCATGAGATTAGTGCCTTGCTGTCTCATCTCATCGTGATCTGTTCAACAATGTAACATTGACATGAAAGTCATTATGTTGCACATTACGACATTTCACTCTTTTGTAACTCAAGAGCAACAACAAGCCCTTGACATTTTGTCACTGCCACTGTTAATAATTTTTCCATCTTTGGCTGCTTGACTCTCTCTGTGTGTGTGACCTCTGTCACCTGAACGTTCTTCTTGTGTCTGTTTGCGTGGTCTGTATAATTCTGTGAAATGTTCATGCTCATTTTGACAAGACAACTCTGGTATTTCATTTTAGTTCAAATGTGCTCTTATTTTAGAGCAGGGGAAATTGGGCCAAAGCAGGAACCATTTAGTACCGAGGTAGATCGAGGCCAATGGCTCATCCCTCCTGAGATCTCTAGGAGAGATAGGGTAGAAAAGCAATAAATGTGCTATATGAAGGAAAGCAGAGAGAGAAACACAACCTAATCACTGGGTTAACCTGTCTGGGGTCAGTTACTGAGGGAACTGTCCTTGTTTCACAGCTTGCATAAAAGAGGCTTTTAATGAACTAGAGTGACCTGCAACCATGCTCCATCTTTCCCTTGACTGATCATCATGTACCCTCATACTGTAACAAGTTTGTTTGTAGATAGTGTGGTAAAGTGTGATTTTCTTGCCTTACACTACCAGCTTTAAAGCGATTTCTCATTCGAAACACTGATAGTGAATTGAGACTGAGACTAAATGACTTGCTAAAATGGAAATGTTTCGCAAGGCTTCACAAGATTTCCACTCACATTTAAGCATACACACTCTCCTCCTCCCCCTCTTATTTTCTCTATCTTTCATGCCCTTTCATCCTGTTCTGATACCTATCGTCTCTTCCAAGAAACCACAGGATGTCAATCTACCATATGTGAGCTTCTACTTCATTTTTTTTTTAAAAATCTCTCGCTTCCCTCTGTTTTGGGGAGGACCTTATTGCTTAATCACCTTATGGTCAAACAGTGATCAGCTATATTTAGCTCTCCTCCAGGCCGACCCTGGCCTTTACCTTCCGATAGGTTGTGTGTGCTTAAGCTTCTGTGTCAGCTTGGTACTACTGTTCGTGTCACCAGTTTATTCAAACACCTACATCATGTAGATGTTTCAAGATCATAAAAAATACAAAGCCTTAGGTTGGTTGTTGATGATATTCTATTTTAAGGAATTGGTTGTTTGTATGTATGTGTATGCAGGTGGATGAACGCTGATTGTTACAACAAAGCAACAATTGCGCTGAAGGGGAGTATGGGAAACCGAAGGGCGTTCAGGGAAGGATGTGCTTATGTGTGTTTAAAAGCAGATAGCATCTACCCGAGGCTGATGAGAGCCTCCTGGGATGTGTGGGTGGGCAGGGGTAACGGTTAACGACACTTACTTCATTCCCCTCCCCTGACACAGCAATTACTGTCGCCCACAAGTCCGTCTTTGCTAATGAGTTGCAATGACTATCCCATTCTTCCGAACTTGTTACACAACCGGTAACTCCTTACTGTTCTTTCCGATGGCATTTAAACCCCAAAAACCACTATCGACTAAACTGCTGGGGCCTTGTTACTATGGAGACAGGTTGCACAACTATGTTGCCCAAAGCTCCCCCACAGTTGACATCTAAAAGGTCAACTTTAATAGACAGCTCTATCTGTTTGATAGGTTGTTTACATCAGTGCTGTTATATGTTTGTAGATATTTATGTGCGATTGCTCTTTGATGGGCTGGGTGTTAATGTGAGAGACGCTTCCATATCTCCCACTCAGTGAAATATTGCACATTGGGGAGAATACGGGCAGCTTTTAGTACAAGCCTTGAAAGTGCAAAATATTCTTTCCGGACATTTGTCACCTTTTGTGAACGTTAATTCTGAAGGAATATATTCAATTTAAATGTCTGCAAGGTGTACCATAAAAAGAAGTTACCCATACTATAACAAAAAGCTCATTCTTACTTACCATAATGGTAATTAGCCATGCAGATTGTCTTGGTTTTATTTAGACAAGTTTTGAGACATTTGTGGCTTGCATCTTCATCAAGTACATTGAAGACAAATGGAATTTTGTTTGTGGTGCACCAAGGATTGAAAAATGCCCTAAAAATTCCAGGATAATCCATTGACTCACTGTGAGCAGATTTCTACCAACCTCTGAAAACTGTTCTCAGTGGGTTCTGTGTATTGTCCAAGGCAAGCCTGAAAGCCACTTGAATAAAATTGGGACATAAGTGAAGTTTCCTCACTTCACTGACAGATTTTTCCTCAGTTGTTCTAAGAAAATTAAAGTTAGTACAACTCACTAATAGACCCTGTATACGACTTTCCAATCTTTCAAGCCCTCAAGCTCTGACACCAGAATTTTTCAAGAAAGCATTTGCCATCATATTATTTACATTTTTGTTTATCAAACGGCATCCCAAGCATTTTTTCAGTACGTCTGACGTTATGTTCTGCTAGTCCTCCAAGAATAAGATTTTTAAGATGATGACTCTTCACATTTAGTCATGATCAAAGTTGTGTGTGTTTGCAACAACACAGAGAAAGCACATGGCTGTGTTTACCATCCCTACCCCCCGTCCACACACACCCGCACACACCAATCCTGCCTGCTTTGCAAGTGATGTAGGGTAATGTGCATAATGGGCAGAGATTAGGGTCATGGTGCAGACGCTGCATCCCTGATTCCCTCCAAGTCTGCCTCCCTGTGGACTCAACAAGCAGACATATCTCCGTGTTTCTCTTCTCTCAACTCAACCTGATCTGGTGAGCTAATGTTGATCCTTTATAGGAAACTCAGAATATGAAAGGGAATATCAAAGGAAAGGAAAGGGCATCAGTCCAAAGCTTTGCACTGGAAAACACTTCCACATTAATCTATATTAAGTCTAAAGGGGTCTTGGAGGGCACACTTTAGGTTCCCCTGCCCATCCCACTCTGCTCACCCCATCCCTCATCCTCCCAAGTCCATTCTCTAGGTTAAACGTCAAACAGCGACCTTTGATGCAGTGTGTGTTTGTGGGTAAACATTAGCAGTCTGGGGGACTGTCAACATGCACTACCAGAAAGAACATCTTGTTGGATAGCACAAAGCATGCTGGGACTGGGCAAGAGGGTGCAGTGATCTTTCCCTTGCATGTGGACAATCAAGAATGTCACTGTAGTGGTGTGACTCAGTTTGCCCAATGACGTGTTTGGTTTTATGAAAATGTATTTTTATGTTCCTTTCAAAGTTGCCTGTCCAATGCAGTTGGTAGATGTTTGTAGTGGCAAAAACAAATTGGGAAAGAAATTATTTAAAAAAAGATTAATTGCCTTGCCACTGTAATTACAGTGGACACAATCAATGGGTCTCTGTCTTGTGTTAGTTGCATATGTGTTAGTTCCTCCCAGTTTTTGACAGCCCAGGCATTTTGATTAGTTAATGACTACAAAAACATTTTCATGGCCTGTGTCTGTCTACAGCAGTTTAGCACAAAGTTTCCTTTCATGTTCCTTTTCCACTTGTAACACACCATTGTAGCTTCTGTGCACCAAAGCCTGTTTATTCAATTTAATCATTTACATTTTATTCTGATGTCTTAATGATAATATGCTAATGATAATATTAACTGAACAATCTATCATCTTGTGTTGGCCCCTGTGCACATGGATGTGTGTAATGTGTACACAGATAAAAAAAAACATAAATATTGAGCATGGGTAGAGTGATCTGTCACCTGATGACACTGTACACAGTAAGCTGAAAATGTGCCATTACCCGCTGTACCCTAGGCATGCAAAAGCACTGTACAAATCCTGATGGAGGCATGCAATGCTGCAACACGCCCTCCTCTTAGATATTCACGTTGTGGTCAACAAATCCTCTGTTGTTAGTTAGTGTAATCATCCCACTCAGTCACTCATTTGTCGCTTCAGGGATCATCGTTAATCAAACCAAGTCCAGCTGTCATCAGGTCCATGAAGAGAAACAGCCCCCCTAATATGTATTCATCATTAACTGCACATCCACATTTTTTTCTATCTGTTACATTGCAGAGAAATCACAGTGGATCCAGGGCACTTTATCTCTTAACCCTGGTCATAGCAATAACAGCAGAAATCATATCTGTGATGAGAGGAGAGGAAGAGGATTAGAAAGGCAACAGTGGCACAGCAGGGAGAGAAATTGGGGTGGGGGATAAAGGCTGGACGGGATCTGGAGCTGACTTGTCACCAAATGTCATCAGACATCAGTATGTTCATTATCTCCACCAGGCATAAGCTTGGAGGGGGCGTGCATTTGGTCGTGTGTCCGTGTGTGTATCTGTCCACAGGTAATTTTGCATTCTACTGGACTCATCACATTTATGACGGTATGCTCAAGGACCTCTTGTGATTACACTGATTCGCAATGTTTGAAAAACTTTGACTGCTCTATTCTATACTGCCATTGACTGCTGACTACTCACTCCTCTTAAGGCCTCCTTCTGGCCAGTGGGGGCCGCAAGTGATCAACAACTGCTTCTACTTGGAATCTTGTTTTCCGCTAGGGACAATGTGCATGGTGGACATGTTAGTGTTGGTGGATTCTTTTATTGTCATTTTCACTTTGAATTTGACATTTTACATCGCTCTTGTTTTAGAATTGGATGAAGGTTTGTCTCCATATAATCTGTCTACTCTGGTTATTGAAAATGTAACCTGCACATTGTCTCTCGAGACAGTGCACTCTCCT